TTTTCTTTTGCTTTTTAACACAGTGACCTCTTCCCAGAGCTCTTCTGTAAGACTGCTGTGGATGCTTAAATGCCTGTGATTTCAGGGACACCAGTTTCTGAGGTGTGCTTCTGTAGGAAAAGAGACTTGCAGCAATAATATTGGTGTGTTTATTTTCTACAGGGTTGATAGAGCCTGGTGTTCTCTTTCTTTCTGGCATCTAGTTATTCCAGCATGTTTTAGTGATATTAAATTGGCAACAGTAAGCAATGCAAAAGGGTGACCTTTGTGTGTCTGGGAATAATGAGGCGAAGACATAGATTGTAGTTTAGATCATTTTGGTAGATACTTATGCAATGTATTTGATTTTACTCACTGTTTTGCTGTGAAAGGAGCACAGGAAATGCTTACCAGGCAGGCATGCCTAGGTTGCTGTCTCATTTCTTTTTTCTTATCAGCAAAACATAAATCCCCAGCTTGCTGACAGGGAATCCATATGTTTCCTCTTTTTGACAAATCAATTTTGCAATACAGATAATCCTGGCTGTACATGAAAAGAGATATTTTGGATTATTTTAATTTTTGCATTACTCTCTATTTTTCACTGCCTGGAAATTATGTATGTGTTTATTTCTGAACCTAGAGGTTGGGTGATTAAGATTTTATGAAAGACACTGTGCTTTAGTGTCTGTCTTTACTTTGAGGACAGTTATTTGTCATATGCAATAACCTGTTTATTGTAGCCAGTGCCATTCTGCACTGCCAGACAGCATACTCAGATTCAGAGATTTCCTGAACACTGGATATCCTCTCAGCATGAGGCCAGGCTGAGAATTGTGTTTGTATAAATCAGCTCCTGCTCTACAAAAAGCTGCAGAAATAGTTGCAGAAACAGGAATCATAGAACTGGAGGTTTTGGGTTGGAAGGAACCTCAAAGCCCATCCCGTCCCACCCCTGCTATGGGCAGGGACACCTCCCACTGTCCCAGACACCGCCAGGGATCCAGGGGCAGCCACAGCTGCTCTGGGCACCTGTGCCAGGGCCTGCCCACCCTCATAGCCAGGAATTTCTTTTCAATATTCCATCTAAATATACCCCGTTTCAGCCATTCCTCCTTGTCCTGTCCCTGCAGGCCCTTTTCCAAAGTTCCTCTCCAGCTCTCCTGAAGGCCCTTTAGCCACTGGAAGGGGCTCTGAGGTCTCCCCTGAGCCTTCTCTTCTCCACGCTGAAAAATGCCAGTGCTTCCACCCTGTCTCCAGAGCAGAGGGCCTCCAGCTCTCTAATTAGGGGATTTATTCAGTTTTACAGTTTTTCGTTTTTACATTTCTGGGTGCCAGTTATGGAAACCAAGACCTGAACATTACATTTTCTAGATATTTATAAAAGAAAAACAAATCTAAATGTAAATTGGGTCAGTACAAATTTTTGTGTTTTACCAGGCAGCAGTGCAGCCTCAGACACCAGTCTCAGTTGAAAACAGAAATAAAATTAATTCTATTAATAAAAACAATAATAAAATTCTTGATTGTAGTACATTTAGTCTGATAAACATGCCTGAAGAGTATTCAAAAAAGAAGTCTATATGGAACATCTGCTTATGTAAGTATAAGGATAGAAGCTTAATTAAGCATGTTTCTTTGGAGATGTAAGGGTAAAATTAACCCAGCAGAAAAGTGAATGCCATGGCTCACTACAAAAACACGGAAGGTAGCTAACAGTGGACACTAGAGCTTGCAGGAAAGTTTTCCAAAAGCAATTTTGGAAAACAATTGATGATTACAATTAGGGCAAATTTTATGCAGAGAAGCTAAATTTCAGCTTGGTTGAAATTTCAAAAGATCATTCTGGCAAAACTCCATCTGGGCATTTCAATAAATGCATTTGTGAAAAACAAAAAGCAGTGACACGTTTCAGTTTTTGACTTTAGTGGGAAGAAATGGTATTGAGAAGCTCTTAAAATAAGAACAGCATTCCTCCTCTGCACAAGTGCAGGTATATGAAGTCGTTGATGAACTTTCAGCTCAGGTACAGAAGGTTTTGGATGTGTAGCTCTCATTGAGAGGCACCTCTGTGGTTCCAGCCCCAAATACATTCATATGGAAATGATCCTCTGGGCATGATCCATGATGCTGTTGCAGCCCAGGGCAAGGCATGGAAATACCCACAGTTTCAGGGGATGCTGACTAGTAGACATTTCTGTAGAGCTCAAGTAGAGCAAAAATTATTTAAAGCCCACAGCTGAGGAATGGTGCTGACAAGGTCACTGCCATTCAGAGGTTTAATGTCTTGGCAGACACCATCTTGGGCAAGGACAGGGCAGGGAAGGTTCAAAAGCTTCATATGTTACTCAGGATGGTCAATACTGGATTAAATTAAATATGTATTGAAAGAAAGGATTCACTGCCAAATTATTTGTTCTTTGGAGAACAAAGTGTGACCAATGAGTCCAGGTAAACTGACAGGTGTACTGAATGCCTCTACTGAGGCTGCCCAGCAGGTGTGCATCAAGTCCAATTCAGTTCTAATTACTTGTGCAGTTACAAGAGTCACCAATGTGAACTCTTAAAAATGTGGTCTGATCTCTAGAAATAGCCTTGAAATTGTAAAATGAAAAAAAAAAAAACCAAACCAAACAAACCCAAACAACTATATGTAAAATCTTTATTTTACAGATTAGGACAATATTTTCTCATTGTAAACCACAGAGTAATTAAAATAAAAAGAAAAGCCCAAACTCGTAACACTCTTTTGGAGTGAGGAGGAAAATTGTCCAGTACATCCCGTATGTTCCAGGAATGGGATGTGCACGGGAGGAGGTGAAGAGAGACCAGTACTACAGAAAATATTTGCTCTCATTGAGGCCAATGGCTACCATAGTAAGTGGCTGAAAGAAGTGGCAAAACAACCAGAAATAATCATCATGGAATTAAAGAGCTATGGTTTTAAAAGCTAGTGCTTGGTGCATATTTACTCAGTAGATTAAGCCTAGTAATTGTCACTGGGACTTCTGTTTGGTCTTTTGCTGAGATTCCTTTGGGTTTGTTTTCCAGGGACAGGGAGTTTAAGAGCATGAACTGGAGATAGATAGGTGGGACACCTGCCTGCTGTGGTATGATCTAGGGGCTTAACAACAATAATGACATGAGGGGAGTTTTAGCATTCAAAATAAAATAGATTTGCTAACAACATGTGGTTCTGTCAGGATGTTCTCAGGGAGGCTGTAATTTCTTTTTGCCTGTAGATGTGGAAAATATGTCTTCCCTCTTTTAATATTTTTGTGTGTTTCATCATAGTACTTGCAGCACTATGCCTGTCGGAACTCAAAATGTCCCTCAGACATTTTCAGAGGTTCCAGGCCGTGGTCAGAAGCATTTTAGACCCTGGCAAGCAGCTGAAAACAGCTGTGATCTTGAGTTTGAGCCATGGAATGAGTTACCAACTTTGAAGGTGGAACAAGCGGTCACTGAGAGTTAGATGGTATAGTAAAAGTAGTTACAAATTAGAGGGGAAAATTTTTTAGTATTGTACAGGGGGGTTTTAATACCTGTACAGGGGGGTTTTACTTTGTACAGGGGGGTCAGGAGTTCTAAAATGGGGGAAAGTGTGCCTGATCCTGTTCTTCCTCCTTCTTCTTCCTTACCTCCATGTTCTTGGTGATGTTGGCATTCACATATTGGTTTGGAGTAGAAGAGCACATTGTAACATGGATAGTAGGTATTGGGGAAAATCTGTAAACATATAACACGTAATATATCATATAAAAGATAGCAGCAGCCCTGGGTGGGGAGAGAGACGACGGAGACACCGGACAGTGAGGGTGTCAGGAGAGTGTGTGCCCCTGCCTGGGCCGCTGATCAAAGCAGCCGCGGTGGGTGAAGACAATCTTTTAGATAACGAGCAATAAACTGCCTTGAGACCGAACCACAAGAGGCTGCGGAGTTTTTCTTTGGAAGCACAGGTTGGAGGAGAGACTTTACCACCCCACGAGACCCCTGAATCAATCCCGGGGTTCTCACATATGCCTCTGAGTTTTCTTAAGTCATTTGGAAATCCAGTGAAAAATAGGGAACTTGGGCTCTGATTCAGAAGCATTGCTGGTATTCTGTAAATGTTAAAAATACCTGAGTTTCTACATTCTGTCAAAGCACATGTATAGTCCCAGAAAATGTATTTGTTACCTTTGAAGTTATCTAGATGTTTTATGTTGTTTTAATCACCTCTCATTGAAAGTTTTGGTAAAAATTACTGTGAACAAGGAATGTTGTGACAATAAAACTTCGTGTATGAAGTTAATGGCTGACATTGGGTGGCCAAGGGAAGAACCTCTCCACAGCTCAAAGAACAGCTGTATAAACAACAAAGTAATAAAAAAGCAGAATGAACAAAAATTTATTTAAAATTAATGATTCACTGTAAAGCAGATTGTCACTTGAAAAGGGAGATGTTATATGTGTATGTCTTTCTGTGCTCTTTCCTGTGGTTTTGACGCCACCAGCCCCTTTCAGTCAAGCCAAACACACATGTAGTGCTTGTAAAGATAAGAAGTTTCAGTCAGATTATGCCAAGATGCTACCAAGTAGGCTAAACGGCATGATCAGTCCAGTAGATCTTGGAAATTTGTGTGGGGGAAGACACGTAATGAATACTCCCAGCTAGCCTGAGTACTAAATTAATCAGAATCCAACACAGGGATCCACAGGGGACCGTGCCTCTCAGAAATTAACTTTTTTTAGTGTTTTTAATGTTTAAGTGTTCAACGTATACCAGTCTGAGCAGGTAATACCACAACATCAGTTGCTTTGTGCTGGGGGTGAGGGCAGAGGAGCTGTTGAATGGGCACTGATGGAGGGTAGCGTTACCGTGGGGCGATGCTTGGCAGAGCAGCCAACGTCAACCACCCCGAGGTCTGGTATTTGTTTGACCATTAACTGTGACTGATTTACAGTTTAATGTGAATAAAACTTCAGTGGATGGCTTCACTGTTGGCAGCGGCGCTGCATTGTCTGTGTTTGCTCTGCAGGGCAGTGCAGCCGCCTTCTCTCGCCCCAGTTCGGCTCACTGCAGGTCCTTCACGGCAACGGCACCGATGTGGGAACAGTGGTCACGTTCCAGTGCCCTGCTGAGCACCAGCTGGAGGGACCGGGCATCGTCACCTGCGTTTGGAAAGGGAACAGCACGCAGTGGACAGCCGGAGTGCCCTCCTGCAAACGTAAGGTTCTTCCCAAATCGTGCCCCTCCTTCTGGGATGTGGTGCGTTCGTTTTGCTCTGCCTATCCTGCAATGTGAGGATTCATTCTAGATACCTGTGCAAATAAAAAGACAAATTCAGTTTTCTTCAAAGTTGCCCCACTGATAGTAATTCCACCCAATATATGTTCTGACATTCCATTATCACGACACACATAAAAGACTCTGTTGGATTAATCCCTGATCTCATGTCACTGGTAGCACCTGGAAGAACTGTGCCTCTAGCTAAAAGCTGTATAGTTCTTTAGAGAATGTAAGGGTATCTCGGCTTAGAGGCAGGTTTAGGAGAAAAACTCTCCGGAATGAGTGTTTTCTCTAAAAAAAAGGGTTCCAAGAATCCCTTTCCACCAACAAGAAATGAATATTAGTGGATGAAAGTGAAAAAAACCCAGCCATTTATTAACAAACAGACTGCTTAAACGGCACGGGAGAAAAAGTAAGTGTGTGCTAGATATTGAATTGTCAGACCTTAACACACACACCCTCCCTCTCCCTCCCCACCCCTTCCGCCCCAGAAAAAATTTCCAAAATGCGAGAGCAAGATAAAAACACACAGGGGCTGGCAGCCGTGTGGGGAGAGAGGTGATAACCAGCTCCTGTCTCAGGGAAGAAGCCAAAAGGTTCAAGCAGCAGCTTGGGCAAACAGATGGGAACCCGGTGTATCTCTGGTGTTGGTCCCCTGTCCAGAGCCACAAGCAGTGCAGCAGGTGTGCCTTCCCTCCCCGGCTCGGGCTTTTTCCAGAACAGCCCCTCTGGCCAGCCGGGCCAGACCGATTCTTCTCCTGTGGCACTTGTTCTCTCAGATAGATCTTGGACCAAAACCGAAGCATCCAATTCACCTCAAAAAGCAGCTGAAGGATTGCTGCTGCAGCCTCTCCAAGCCCAGGAAAAAGAAAAAAAAAATCAAAACAAATTTCTGCCTGGGTTAACAAAAAACCCCAAACTGGCCAAGCAAAACCCAGACTGCACCACACCCCTTGGACACCGGGACAGTGAGGCTTTGAAAAAGCCCAGCTATGGGCCCCAAGGCTCCCCCTTCCCCCGGACCCACCTTAAAGATACAGCAATTATTTTAGGGCATAAAGCAGAGGATCAGGGAATAGACTGTCATCATAAATCACCCCAACACTATGGGGATGACCAACTGATGTGCAAGCATATTAGTGAACCTCTTATCTCCTGGCAGTCTTTTCTGACAATGTTTTTGCCATAAAAGAAGCATAGTGATATTTTTCTAACAATTTTTGGTTGTTGCTGCTGCATGGGAGATTTACCATATAGAGAAATAGTGTCTGAATGACAACAGAGTTAACTACCTTTTAGCTGTGTTTCTGCTTGTTTATTTTAAGGTTGTTACTAGTCTGACCAGATGTAGACCCAAGCAAAACTTGGTACCTCTGAGCTTTGAGGTGCCTCAGACCTCATGTCATTTCAAATCCCCAGTGGATATATTGCTCTTAAAGCCACTTAGTGCTCTCTCCCACACTCAGCTATTCTTATCTCTTGTTTAGAGATCTCATAAAAGAAAAAATGAGAGAAATCCTTCCCCCAGAGTCTGCAGAAATATAATGCTTTGTGTGGAGCTCAGCTGAACCATTTGTGATGCTGGTCATTGTGGCATTGGAGAATTAGCTGAGTTTTGAAGCAAGACATGCTTACTATTCCAAGTGAGTTGGCAGAGATCAGTGTTAGCTGTGCCACATCACATTCCTATTCCTCCTTTTGTCTGGATAACTCATTTCAGCATCAGATCTCTGTGAACACTCAGCCCTGCATGTCACTTCTTCCATCTTGCATCCTTCCCCAAACAGAGGAAGACCTGTTTGTTTGCTGCCTGCCAAAGAGGATGTAATTACATGGAACTGTCTTTGCTCTAAATGGCTTCTTTAAGGCCATTTACCCATGTTAGTATTCATTTCTGTAGCTTTGGTCCTTGTTAATAGAGTCTGCAGCTCATCTGCATTTGATCTGCCCACAGGCTTGTGCTTTTAAGCTACTGCAGTGCTAAGGACACTGTGTTTAATTAATTGCAGTGTGAAATGCTTGTGAACAATTCATTAGTAACTTAAAAACAGGAGATATTTACATAGTCCAGTTTGAGGCTTGCACAGGTCAAAACTGAAGCCAAGATTCTCTGATATCTTGACGCATTGTAATATGAAGGTCCTCACTGAGCAGAATTGTGAAGCAGGTAGGTTTCAGCATGGTTTAATGAAAATGTGAAAGATAATTTTATGCTCTGATCTTAGAAACGTTTCTGTGTTTGCTTTGCTGCAGCCATATCAAAGTATGAGACTTTTGGCTTTAAGGTCGCAGTGATTGCCTCCATTGTGAGCTGTGTTGTCATTTTGCTGATGTCCATGGCTTTCTTAACTTGCTGTCTGATCAAGTGTGCAAAGAAAAGTGACAGGAGGAGAACTCAAAGGTATGTCAAACAGACAGTTTTAATAACAGTGTAAGAGTGTACATGATATGGACCTCATTGCTGTGATAACAAATGCTTCAAAGGATTTGCTGCTTGCAGCACTGCAATGATGGTTATTACTTAAAATCCTTAATTTGTAGGTCAAGCTTTAGGCGTAAAAGGACTTGGAATTCCAGAGTATTTAAATACCTGATGCCTGTTAGTATCAGATAACCTCAACATGCCTAGGCAGATCTGGATTTACCCAGGATTATGCAGAAGCTGAACACACAAGTCTTATTTTCTGGCACAGCATTTCTCTCCTCAAATTATTGGAGATTGGCAGTGTTTCCCCTTCGTCTCTGTTTCTTTCCTGTTTTCCTTTCTTTCTTTGAACACTGCTGGGAAATGGAATCTCCCTGTGTCAGAGCCATCCAAGGCCTCACCATCGACAGAGCATCCTCAAAGCCTCATGGGGCTGGAAGGACAGAGGATTTTGTCTTCTGGTTTGGAGCACAAATTGGTGGATTATAAACAGGAATATGAAAACGCCAAATTTTCAATCCAGTTCAATATAAAACTCAGTGTGGATAGTGTCAGCAGGAGCACATTTGCCTCTAGGCTGGAGCCAAACTACTGTTGCCCACGAGAGCACTGAGTGACCTACAGTCACTGCTGCAGAAAGCTTTCCACAGGAACTTGGTTTCCGTCTCACTTTTCTTGCTGGTTATTCCTACCAGTGGAGTGGAGGGAGACTGGGGAAGACAGCAGTGAAGGTTTCTGTGCTGAGTTGTGGCTTGTCTGAAGCTGTGTGGGAACCAGCTGAAGGGGGAATTTTTGTCATTTGAAATCCAAGTGTAGCCAAAATAGAGATTTTCTGTTTCTCTTGAAAGATTATTTTGTGTCAAAAAATGAAAGTCATTAGTGTCAGTCATAACATTCAGGTTTTTACTGGTAGCATGAAATAAGTTGCTTTGAAATGAAAGGTTAATTGATATTTTTGGAATTGCCACTTTTCTTTTTGATCAGACTATTCATATCACAGTCCTTGTTTTTCATTTATTTTAAATGAAGCTTTGTAAAAACGAGCCATTCTCATTATTGTAATGACTTTATATTTTTCCTCTTACAAAAGAAAAGCCCTTCACACTGGACATAATGACCTGATTCTGTCATCAGGCTGTAAAATTATTTCTTTTGCTGAGACCTTCTCAGTTCCCTGCTCCCTTGTGCACCTTTCCCTGTCTCCTGAAGGAGCTGCTCCATCCCGTTGGCAACAGAGCCCAGCTCCAAGGAGAAACCTGGGGGCACTGCAGGCATTGTGTATCTTTTCCCTTCTGGCAGAAAGAATTGAAGTCATTTACACACTGTCCATGTCATGGGAGAAAACGTAACATAACCCTGTGCAAAACTTGTCAGGTGCAGTGGCAGCATTTCTGTTGGTAATGGAGGTGGAAAAGTGGATTGACTTCTGAATGCACAAAGCATTAATCTGACAAAAAGCTGCAGGCTTGATAAGTTAATACAAAGTGAGAACTCTTGGGGAGAAAATAATAAAGTGTCTCTTAGGCCAGATCTGAAAGATGAGGTGATCTGTACCTATGGAGCAGAGGGGATGTCCTCACCTTGACTGTAGCTCTGAGGTCTGCATGTCTGCTTCTTTTGGCTCCTAGTTGGTCGCCTGAGAGATCACCTCTGCCTACAAATCTGCCTTGCATGGTGTCTAATGATCTTTGAAGTGCCATCTTGTGTTTAATAGAATCATAGAATCGTTAGGATTGGAAAAGACCCTTAAGTTGAACTGTCAACACAGCACTAACACCATATTCACAACTAAACTGCCACATCCACCTGTGTTTTGGAGAGAAGAGGGATGAAGGCTGCTGAAAGTTCTCCCACCATTCAGCTTCCTCATAGATCTTGTCCTGCTAAGGAAGTGTGGCTACTCTTTTCTTTGGGAAGAGCAGGATTGCGTCCCAAGAAGACAGAAATAGCACCAAAATCAGTGTCACCAGTTCTCACAATTTGATCTTCTCCCACCAGCCAGTGAGAGTGTCTGTGATTCTGCAAGTCTTAGACTTCTTTTAAAAACAAGAAAAGAAATGGTGGATATTTTCTTCTTGCCTCAGAGTTGCAGAGGGCATCATGAAAACAGCTCTGAACATTTCCAAAAGAGAATTCTTACAGTGAGGCAATGTGCCCTATGCTTAACAAAGGCAACACTACCTGTCTCCTCCATTTTTAAGTCAATATCTTTTCAACCTGCCTGGTGATTTTGGAAACGTTAAGAATAGCAGTGATGCAAAAAGTCATAGAAAATATATTTTTTTCCCTGAACTAATTTATCCCATAAAATGGAGATGATCTGAAGTCTTCTCACACGCAACAGGTTGTGGCCTGATGTCACTTTTGAAGGTCCATTAGAACACTGACACATCATCCCACCTTATATGACTTTTCTTATTACCTGTAGTCTGGAAAAACACTGAATCAAATGGACATAATTCTTGGAGGTTTGTTACTTTGAACCATCCACTGGCTCTCATAAGAAAATTGTTCTCATTTTCTTGTTTGTTTGCTTATTTTTTGAGGAGTGCTGGACAGTACTTACAGTATCACTATTTTACACAATAATATTTATGCTATTGAAGAACTCCCTATCTTAGGGTGTTATTTAAATCTCTACAAGTTTGGCTTGCACATGAAGTTCATCATGTGTTTAAGTGTATTCTTCAGTAAACCTAGAATGAGATTTAAGCTCTAGTGAGTCAGGTCTGTGGTCAGATAACAGCTCAGCTGTACAGCCATATATCACAATATGTTTCAACGGCTTGGTATATTCACAGAGAAATGCAGCTGTGGTACCAGCTAAGGACTGAAGAATTAGAGCACATGCAAGCTGCTTGCTTTGGTTTTAAGGGAAGAAACAATAACAACAATAAGAAACTCAGGAATACATCTGTATTTGGTGATGTGACTAACACGGCATATGATACCCAAGGCTTCTACAGGTAAGGCTGTTAAAATAAAGTAGGTTTGAATGAGTTGATAGGATCCTGGCTAATCGCTAACCAAAGTTAAAACCAGCTATGAGAGCAGGCATATCAGTCTGTGCACCCTTAGATAAAAGTCTGGCTATTTTGCATATGGAAAATGGTCACTGCTTCTAATCAGAGATGGAAGTGTCATTAAAGGTGATTCTGAATAAAACTGTCCTGGAATTGCTTTTGGAACAGATGTGACCCTTCCTTATTTATACCTTGTTCCCCTTTTACACTCAAATAAGAGCTATTTAATCAAGTAATTTAAAGTGATTTCTATTCTTTAATTCTGTAAAATGAATAGACTTGTGTAGGAACGGTGGGTAGGACTGTTGGGACGGATGGAGATGAGAGATCCCTGCAGCCAGGGCTTGGAACTAGGGTTTATGGCAAAGGGTGCGGGTGCAGGGCCCTGCTTGGAGCTGCCAGCCACAGCTCAGAGCAGGCCCAAAAGAGCAAAGTTGCCGTTACAATACCATAAATCTTCTTCTCTGCTGAATATTCCAATTTTCATTAACCGATCTAGTACAAGATACAAATCCTATAGCATTTACATACAGCCTATAAGAATGATTACATTGCCATACTGTGTTACATTTTAAACCCTAAAAACTACTCTTTAGACTCCTTCTGCTAAGCTAGTAGGGTCTGCTCTGACCCTTGGACCTGTCTGCAAGCGGAGGGTATTGTTTCATCAAAAGGGGATTACCTTCAGCCGGCCATACTATTGTTTTCCAGTTGTTCAGCAACCAAGGCTTGGTATCTCAAAGCTTGCTTTCATTTCAGTCTCACTTATAGTTTCCATATTCTCAAAATCTTTTGCCAAGCAATCATATTTATAAGGCTTTCCTGTTTCATCTGCCCAACAGACATGCAAGGTGAGATGTAGGAATTCTGCTAACAGATCTCATGAAGACAACAAATGGTCTGTCAGTTTTATATTTCACTTGCAAGTTTTTGGGGTTTTTTTGTGTACGTGTAACAAATTAGGCTAAGTTTCCTCATCCTGTGTTTGTCTGCTTACTGGGAACAAGAGAACAGTGCAGGCACTGAGGAGGTGCAGCCATGGAGCTGGCGAGTGCTGGGAGGACCAGAATGAAAGGACACGTTACTTGTCTGGATGATTGCTGTGATACCGTTTCCCTCCCAGTGTGAGTTGGGAATGTTGGCAGCCTGTGCCTGAAGGAAATCTCTAAACCTGGGTGGGTGTTGCTGCAGTGGTGAAGCTGCTACAGAATTGATTTTCCAAAGAAATAATTACAGGCACATGGTATGGTTGGAAAGAAGCAGCAAAACTGAGGGCAGGCAGTCCCAAAGGAAAGATTCCGTATATTTCTGCATATCCATGGTCAAGAACAAACCAAAAGAGAATTTAACCAAGACTCCTCAGGGAAGGTTCAGGCTTTACATGAGTAGACCTTTGTGTACCAAGACCGTGGTCAGACCCTGGAACTGGGTCCTGGAGAGGGGGTCATTGCTCAAGGGGCATTTAGACATGCCCTTAGTTTTATAGCTTTAGTTTTTGGTCAGCCCTAAAGGAGTCCGGTGGTTGGACCCAGTGATCCTTGTGAGTCCCTTCCAAATGAAATATTTCAGTCTAGTCTAGTCTAGTCTACTGTAGTCTATTAGCACCCTATCCCTATTCTATCCTACCTTATCCTCTTCTTGTGTTAAGGTTTCAGACATTTGGAGGAATTGTCCAATGCACCATGAGATGTCCGAGCACAGCAGCAATCCTGCTTGGTTTTTCTAGGCAGGAGCTGTCTGAAGAAGCACAGGGGATGAATCCTCTCCTCCCTGCCTTTTCCAGTGCTGTGGTACATGCTGTTTTCTGCAACCCAGCCATGGGAAGAGGCTCTGCAGCCCACTTAGAACGGGAAGTTGAGATGCGTGCTGCCCATGTCTGACAAGGGAGTGGGTGGAGGACAAATTCGGTCATTTTTACAATAGCTTTCTCTCTTTCCTTGAAGAAAACTGTTCTGCTCTTCTTGTAGCATATGAAGTATCTGGAAGAGTAAAAACTCCTCCACCCTTGAAGAAGACTCTCTTGAGTATATCTTAATTTATTTTTGACTAGAAAAGCACGTAGGTTGTGCTACTTTTCAGACTTAATTGAATAGATTTTGAGATTAATATTTTGATTCAGTACTTTGGGATCAAAATGCTGTAAGAAGAGATAAAATAAAAAGCTAATTCTTTCAGGTAAGGAATATAAAATAAAAATTCAATTCTTTCAGGTGGGTAAGGTATTAAGAAATACAGGTTTACAAAACAAATAAAGGTTTGCAGACAAATTTAGGATTAAAATACTCTATTCAGTTAAAGAGGTGCCTTCGTATGCTGACAAGATAATTTTGGATGCAATTAGGTGAAATGATGTGGAGGCAGCGTGCTGATGTGCAGAGGTTATAAATAACAACAAGAAGATAAGCCCAGCTCTGTGTCTGTAGGAGCTCCACTGTGCTGTTCTTGGACCTGGCTGCCACAAAATGAGAACTTTCTCCCCTCATGTTTGAAGCATAGAACAAACATCATGAATATGTAGTTTTGCAGGGAAAGATTGAATTTTAGTGTCAACTGCTTTAATTATAATGATCCTCATTCTGTCTGGTTTTATGGTTGAACAAATTGCTTTAAAATTATAAGAAATATGTGTACAAATACCGGGATCATTAGTTACAGAGTGCTGTCACTCCAGATGCCACGTCTTTCATTTGGATGTAAAGAATCATAATGAGGATGAACATACCAATTTTTACCACAAGGTCTTATCTGCATGAGCTGCGAGTATTTACAGCATATTTGCTCTATTATATTATTGAAAACACTAAATAATGTTGAGCAGGGAAAAACAAGTTACAGATCATGGTGCTGCTGGGAGGGAGATGTTTCCCCAGCGTTGCTTCTGAGAAGTTCAGAGCAGCAGAGATAGCAGTTTTCTCTGTGGTGCAGAGGTTTGAGCCAGATTAGCTGAAAACAAGGGTCTGTGTCTAGGGAAGGGAGATTAGCTGTAGCCCTGGGCTGTAGTTAGACAAGAACAATATCCATGAGCCTCCGAAGCAGGCCCCAGGAGGATTGCTGGGCAGAGGGCTTGTCAGCATGTTGGGAATGGTTCTCAGAGCCTGACTGCAAGATGAACCAGGATGTGCTATTTTTGAGTCAGTTATTTTCTGATGAAGAATAATTCCTGACCCTGCAATAATTCTTCTCTGGAGCACTTACTTGGGCATCCACCACCTGAGTCAAACAGCCCTCTGCCATCCCAGCAAGCAGCAGTGTGGGAGAGCTAGGATCAGGCATCTGCCCGAGAAGGTAGGTTGTAAAATATCAGTAAAGAGAAACTTAATGGCAGCTGTCCTTCCTCTGTGCCAGCTGCTAGTAGTGTTTGAGAGATAGAGGTGAAGGTCACTGAGACATTATGTTAAAGAAATGGGTGTTCAAAAAAAGAGTGGAGTCAGCTTAATGCTGGCAGGGGCTACGCTCACCCACTGCTCATGGTCAGATGTAGCTGCTCCCCAAGTGAAGGTGTTCCAGGGCTTGACAACTCTTTCTGTGAAGAATTTTTTCCCAACATCCAACCTAAACTTCTGCCAAAATGACAGATCTTAAAAAGTGCCTTCAATTTTCTTCAAGAAGGCAAAACTTCACAGCAAGCTAGCGCAACAGCCTCAGCAGAGCTGCTGCTCTAGGAGTACAGGATGAGGAAATGCAAATAAGCAATGGCTCTGATAAACACCATTGCCAGTTTTTAAATCTGTAAAGAATTGTCCTGTTCTGTCCATTGCTGTAATGTAAATCAATTAAATTTTAAGCATCCATTCAGGAAGGGGGCTGTCCTGTGCTTGTTTAAGTAGTTTGAGTAGTTTGTATCATTTACTCTTGTTCTGTAAGTGAAGCCATCAGTTCCATAAAAAACACAAGGAAATGCAAGTGTTCTGTGCCAGAAATGGGAGTCTGAATCCAACTGGAACCACTTTTGTCCTGGCAAAATATGCACAACCTAGTCTAACATTGTGAGAGCAAACAGCAAACCCTTCTGGCATGAAGAGACATTAAAGAACCAGGCACTCCTCTTTTGGAATCTATTTATATATCAGCATGTGTAGAAGATACTGTCCCCAGAGCAGCACAGATAGCCAGTGTAAAAAAAAAAAATACTGAGAGAGCTCATTTCAGTTTGCATTCATCTTCCTAGTGATGGTCAGAACTAGCCACACCTTGGCTCTGCTGCTCTGCTTTTCAGTGTAAAAGTCCTGTAACCTGTCCTGGAATAGATACTTCCTTGACTCAAGGGATATGCTGGTTTTTTGTAAGGGAGAATTGATGATCCAGTATTTTCCACACTCAGGAGAACTGAATGTAGCTGTACACTAACTCCTTTTCATTCTCTGTCAGCTAAGATGACAACGACAAAAAAAGTAGTCCAGCTCAAAAATGCAATCTAAAGAGAATCAAAGAAATTTGGTGTGGTTGTTTGTCTAGTGTGGAAGCATTTGAAAGAAGCTGGGCATTCCAAATCTGGACTGCTTAGAGGTGAATTATTTTTCACAGCTCTAAGTCAAGTTACAAAACATTCTTTGCGAAGTAGCTGATCTAACTGCAGAAGCTAGTCAAATGGAAAAGCCCATGTCTCAGTAGGCTTAAAGTCTTCATTTCAGCTACTCACAGAGCTGGAGCATATTACCAAGAAGAAAAAAATCTTTCTGCAGAGAAGCAGGCTGGTATATTCTCCCAGAGGAGATACTTTTAGTTGCTGAAATTTTTGTACCAGAGATCTTTTTGACTACAAGATGCTATACCATTCTACCTGGCAAAAAGCAAATAAGGGCAATCCAACAATAAAGAATTCCAACTGAAAAGGTTTTGTGAAAAATCACAAAGCCGGCATGCTATTAGGAGAGGCAACTCAGCATTTTCAGCATCATTGTGGGGTTTAATGCTGCATCACATAGAGCAGCATTGATACAACTGTATGGAATTGGTACAGTTCCCTACACCAAATGTTTGATTACATGGCACCATGAAGGGGAAGAGAGGGACAGATTTCCTTTCGCTGCTTTTCCCCAATGCCTTGAACTTCTCTATTCATAGGGTTGTTCTTTTTTTTTTTACCCTTGTTTTTCCTGTGCTCCGTGTTCCCCACCACCACCTTTTTTTGCACGCTTCAGCGAAAGCTGAGACAGGGGAAGTGAGCTGTGGTTTCACCTTGGGGCCCTGTTAGAAGGGTACTATAAACTGGCTTTTAAGTTACCACCCATTTCTGAATTTAAGTCGTAATTGTCATTGCAAGAGCTCGAAGGGGGCATGTTCAGCAAAATGTGCTTTCAATAGACCTGCTATTATTGTTTTCATAATGCTTTCCTGATTACCCCAGGGTCTTGTACAAAGCCACTAGACATACAGCAAGACAAAAATCCCCTCCCATCCTCTAGTATAAAAGCTGTTTTGAGAGGCAGTGCCAGCACCAGGCAGCTTTGTGGCTGCATTCTCACACATCTCAGATGTCCTGTTAACAGTGTTTTCCCTCCAGCAAAGAGCGGCTCTCAAGTCACACAGAAAAATATTCTTGTGAATCTTCTAAATCCCATTGACAAATGCTATGATGGCTATTCTTCTTCTCTGATGGGAGCTCCAGATTTTATCTGTCAGATAAAGGCTGTCCTTGTCAAATGCATCATGCACTTGGTTGTGCAGCAACCAGGGCAGGTTTATATTGCCAGGTAAGGGTGCAGAGAAGGGTTCTGATCCTCTTGCTGCGGTGTTACGAAGTAGCCTAGTTGGGGGCTGGAGTTATGGAAAGTTGAAGTGCTTGAAGAAACAGTCATGCTCATTCAGGACAAAGTACAGAGCTTCCAAGGATGAGAGAGCAAACTGAAGACTCTGTCTGACTGAAGGTCATGCACACAGAGCAAAGCCCACTGCATGCACAGTTGTCCCTTGGTGACACTGCAACCCTCTCAATAGCTCTTCTTATCCTCTGTTGAGGTGGAGCTCCACTGGCTTCACTGTCCCTCTGATGTCTTCAGGGTTTAATCCATTGCAGGGAAGAGTGGTGCCTACTGTCTCACCCTACACTTACAGAATCACATAACGATGGAATGGTTTGGATGGAAAGGGGCATTAAAGATTATCCCATTCCCCACCTTGCCATGGGTAGGGACACCTTCTGCTGGACCAGGGTGCTCCAAGCACTATCCAACCTGGCCTTGGACACTTCCAGGGATGGGGCAGCCGCAGATACTCTGGGCACCCTGTGCCAACAGATGCCAATGAAAGCTTAATCGTTCCTGAAATGGGAGGAATGGGTTACTAAGCCAGGAGTAGATTTCTTCTCCAAGTACACTTTTAGCTAGTTTGGGTTCCTGAGTGGTGGACTATGGGTTATTGAAGTGTTTCACAACATAGAGCTTTGTAGGGGAAAACATCAGAGTAGGATGACTTCTGCTCACATGGACTGCTCAGGTATTTACTGCTCTCCAACCAGCATACCTAGACTTGAGCTATAATCCTGGTAGAACAATTTGCAAAGACTTTTTTTTCCAAAGGCTGTTTTGCTGGCCCAGGCAAAACTTTATTCCAGTCCTTCTCTGTCTACGTGCTGCTTTGATTTGGTTTTTATTTTGACCTTTGACTATCATCTCAAGAAGAGGGAACTGAGTTCCTTATACTGTAAGAAAATAAGTAAGTGCACAACAGCAAGCACCTCAGAAGATTTTCTTTTGGCAGTGAGGTGTGCAGCATTACCCCATGTAGCTTCTGTTCCCTGATGGCAGGTCACAGGGGTTCTCAGTGCTCAGTTGGTACTCAGCAAAAAGGTACTTGAGATCTTGTTGAGGCTTTTACAGAGACACAATTATTTGCCCCACTGCTGCCAACTGGTTTTGATGCTGGGAGAAGCAATTCTTTATGTTGCAGCACAAGTCATTTGCGAAACACCTGATGCGCCAATAAAATGCACAAATTCTGTACCTTCACCAGAATTAATGAAACAAAAATAACTTTTCCCTTTGTGCTTACAGGTCCCAGGAAGAGCAGACTCGAGATGTCGTAGTTCCTGGGTGTTGCAAAGACAACAGTCACCTGCTGAAGGTAGCCAAGAGCAATGGTGCACCTAGGGAACACACAGTACTGGGACACAACACTGCACTGCAGACGGTGAACTCCATACATGTTGTTGAAGTCGACATTCATAAGAATAGTTTCAACAAACTGACCTGCCAGATATCTGGATAGCTGGTGTCTGAAATGCAGCTGCTTCTCTGGACCAAAATGAAATATTGATAGATGTGCCTTAAAGACAACATAGAACATTCATTATTAATATGAACTGTAAGTTTTCTATATTCCAAGATGGCTATTTAAGAGAAATGCTTCAAGGTCTGATACAACTAAAGATATGAATATTTGGGCTGTCAGTCCAGAGCTGTTCTCTGCGGTGTGCTGTGCAGTGTGACCATGGCAAAAGAATAATGTCCTTCTGCATAGCTAGAGAGGTGGTACCCAGTTTGCATATTTGCCTCATATGAAGTTGCTGATAATAATTACACACCCCTCAGATTCCAATGTTCTCTGAATCAGTGGGTTTTGTAAGAATTTCAGAAAGAAAAGTCTCCCATATTTTTACAAAGTAGCATGAAATAGAGCTACAGAAAAAAAATTGGTTTTAATTAAATGCCCCATTGTTTTGTATCAGAAAGATCTTTAATTCATCTGCTCTGTCTTTAGAGAACATGTGAGACTGAGTGCCGCAAAGGCCCATCTGCAGGTCTGCCAGCCTGTGGGAGGGGAGATGGCACATGGAGGGATGTGGTGTTGTGCTGTGGCACACCTTGGGGCCACCTGTGACCTCCTGTAGCTTCTACAGGTGTCCCAGTGCAAGAGCAGTTGGTGTGCAGGTGGGGACAGCGGTGCAGCCTTCCTGGAGCAGCCAGCTCAGGATTGCTGCAGGATCATCCCTGTGAGACCTCTCTAAATAAAGGTAGCTACTGAGGTAGCTTTTGAAAGCCTGCCTTTTTTCCTGTTGTTAATCTGTATATCACGTAAGGAAACAAGGTGAGTTTTTTTCATGTTTTGTTCCTTTTGAATAGTTAAGTAACAGATACAGTGCCTTTTCTACTGTTTATATGTAAATTGATGTATATTCTACTCACAGTATAGTTATTTTTGTTCCAGTTGAAGCCTTACTTAATACTTTTATCAGCTGTTTGATGGGTATCATCACATCCCTCTTTTGGGTAGAAGCATGACCTTACAGTGGGCTGCAGTAATTGTTTTATGGTATATTCCCTTGGTATGAATCAGGCATCCTCTCATAACCTGCAGTTCTGAAGTTTCAGTTTTGAAATTGAAATTACTGTAGCCTTCTGGCAAATGCCCTCTTCTATCCTGGACATACTCTACAGAGATAAAAATATGTGCTTGAAATTCAGTAAGATGGAAGTTGCAACAAAAGAGCTTTTTTCTTGTTTCTAATAAGCTCAGTTCTACTGTACATTACACCAAGGTGCACCCTGCAACACACTTCTCACTATGCACTCCAAAAAGAAGAATGGATATACTTCCCATCACTAAACCAAATTAAATTCGCAATTCATCCAATTAATACTAGCTAGTGTTTATCAGGATATAGTTGTGCTGTGAACTATTCAGACCACAGTTTTCAGTTGCCTATCAGACTCAGACAGCTTCTGTACCCAGCAGGTCAAGGGAGATGGTTCTGTCTTCTGCTCTGCTCTGGTAGGATCTCATCTGAAGCTCTGTGTCCAGCCCTAGGGCCCCAGCATAGGAAGGACATAGAGCTGCTGGAGCCAGTCCAGAGGAGGCCACAGAGATGCTCCAAGGGTTGGAGCCCCTCTGCTCTGGAGCCAGGCTGGGAGAGCTGGGGGTGCTCGCCTGGAGAGGAGAAGGCTCCAGGGACACCTCAGAGCCTCTTCCAGGGCCTAAAGGGGTTCCAGGAGAGCTGGAGAGGGATTGGGGACAACTGGGAATGGCTCCCTACTGACAGAAGGTTAGATGAGATACAGGAAAGAAATTCTTGTCTGTGAGGGTGGTGAGGGGCTGGCTCTTAGAAAATGGAAAAGGGCAAATCTAACTTTAATAGGGGGTGAGAAGAGAACCTCAGAAGCACCAGAATGGAAGGGTTTCTCTGATCCCCGGAAGTGTAGAACAGATGGTTAAACAAGTTCTTCACAAATAAGATACATCTCAGCCTAGGATTAAAAAGAGTTATAGGCATGGGAGGGAGATGTTCTGCCCTACTGGCAATATTGTGCTTAAGGTACATATGTGAAGGGTGGCCAAGATATCCTTGATCCTGCCTCTCTGCAGCTCCTTTGAATTTCCTTCCTCTTCCCATCTCTATGATTATGTTCACAGAATTCCATTATTTATTTCCCTGGTGGTTTAATTTTATTATGTGGCTTTAAAATGCAATAATGTGACTGCAAGTGAAATAAATTCCCTGTTGGGATGTTTGGGTCAACACTTTGTGTGAGCAGACAGCCTGGCTCCTGTTCTGCATGAGGCTAAGATGAGTAATATTGGATGGGACAAAAAGTGCACCCTTGAGGTGCCAGGGATGCTGGCAGCCATGGGAAGCACCCCAGAAGGCAGGTAAATTCACTGTCCCTGTGCCAGAGCTAAATTACTGTCATTTATTTGGGCTGCTAATGCAAGAGGCAGCAAAGTTACACCAAGATAAGGAAGCAACACCCAAACTGTTTGTGAAAGATTTGTGGCTTGGCTCCCTCTGGGACTGTGCTTAGTTCTGATGGCTGCACCCCCTGGAGCTAGCTTTATGGCTTGTGCAAACGTAATTTATTGTCAGAAGGGAAGTAAGTGCTGTGCAGGAAGGAGATGAAAGCAGCTGAAGCTCTAAAATAGACATTTAAAACCTTGTAACCCTTAAATGTGTGCTGGCCGGTGGTTCCAGCTGGATTCAAGCTCCTATTTCTGCTACAGAACACTTGCATTTCCTTGTGTGTTTTATGAAACTGATGACTTGCGCACTGCTCACAGAAGTGTTTCCCACAGGACTTACACTGTATCTATGAGCTGAAGTCTGCAGTGGCCTCTCACCTGGTGGAGCCTGGGCAGATGGTAGGTTGCTGAAACCTTCCTGAAGCGTCCCTGCAAGGAGAGCACTCCACGAAGCACACATCAAATACAACACTCACATGCAACAGCTGGTAATCCTAAGACAGCGGAGGCAGGAAGGGTCTTTGTATGGGTTTCCAGTGGTAGTTTATTTTACCTACACTCTGAAAGGGTCTAGGGACAAAGACAGGGCGAGGTAGAGGGTCCAGGATTATATACTGGTACAAATGTGAGCAGGAAAAGGATTACAGTGGCCAAAAGGGAAACACAAGGGTAAACAGACAGGGGTGCAGACCAACGAGGGTACAAAGAACAAAGAAACTGCTAGAACCGTGACTATATGTGGTTAACAGCCGGTTGAAAGGCCAACAGGGGGAGTGGCACTGGGGTTGGTTGACAGCATGTCACTGGAGTGTATGGGAGAGAGGCTGAAGTCCAGCAGACATTCTTCCAGGGCATAGCCCCAGGAAATCCCCTAGCAGGCCCACCGGCCTCCACAACTCCCCTTCCTTTATTTGTTAAAAAGGCCTCTCCTAGAAATTTCTGTAAACATTTAACTAAACAGGAAAACATAAACAAGACAATGACTACAACAACTAAAATCCCCAAAATCCCTTTCACAAAAGATAAAGCCATCCGCCCATCTGAGTGGACCATCGCACCCCAGCAACTCTCCATCAAGGATGATCCAAGAACTCTAACCTTTTACTAACCCGTGCCCAGAACTGGGCTTTACTTCACACAGGCTGCACACCATCCTCTCTATCACTCCTGGCTGTGGGGATCAGATGAGGCCCAGAGCTGGCACAGGGGTGACTTCCATGTGAGGATGTGTACCTGAAGTGGCTTTGTTACCTTCCCACAGCTCTGCAGAATGTCAGTTTGCCAAATCTGTCAGCTGTTTATTTACACACCTATTTTAAGGGGAGGATTCTCTAACAGCTTTATTTATTTGATTTTTATTTATTCCTATCTTCAATGAATTCAGTTGTGTTTTTAAAAATAATTAGCTGAGTATTTTTTTCATATGTACAATTTGATTTGTGCTTTAGATAAGGAGCCAAGTGCAATATTGAACATATTGTGAAGCTGATTGTTCATTCTCCAGAATCTGTGCAATATTTACCAGGACTATTTGTGATCAGATCAGTATACATAGCCCTATTCTACATGCCCATTATTCCCTTGTGCCAGGATACACAATTTTTCCATTATCTGCATCATCTTCTTGTTTTACCTATGCTGGTAAAATTTCATAGAGCCAAACCAGGGGTGTGTAATTCATCAGGTACAAGGTGAATACACAGGAAGTTATAACTGACCAGGGGCTTCCAGACCTGTGGATGCTCCAGGCTATCATATTCAGCTTAGGATACTAAGCTGAAATGGACCCTGAGGGATCATGGAGTCCAAACACTGGTCCCGCACAGACACCCCAACAATCCCACACTGGGCATCCCTGGCAGCACTGTCCAAACTTTCCGGGAGCTCTGTCAGCCTCAGGGCCGTGCCCATTCCCTGAGGAGCCTGGGCAGTGCCAGCACCCTCTGGGAGAAGTTTCATCCAAGTCAGCTCTGTTTCCATTTCACGGTTTGGCTTCACAGGTTAGGAATAAAGAGCTGGGAATTTGCAGCACATCTTCTGCTTTTGTGTTTGGAATCAGAGAACTTTTTTCCTTCATCTCCTTCTAACCAACAAAGTAATCATAACAATAATCATAATCTGACTATATAAGATTGGAAAATAACGCATTTTATATGCAAAGCTACTCTAGAAATTATTAGCCTACACACAAAAAGCCTTCATAATTCTGAGCAAACAAACATCTTGGTTTTCAGAGCTAAGTACACGTCCCCTAAGATCACCAGTAAGCTGCTGCTGACTCCCAAGGCGCAGAGGAGCAGCAGCCCATCTCTCCCGGCAGAGCTCTGCCGGCTGTCGCAGCTGGACTCGCTCCCTCCCTGTTTACTTTCGCTTCTCCGAGTCGCCCGTGACCTCCGTTTATCCCGTCAAGGAGAACTGCACTGAGGCCGCCCCGCGTGGGACGTGTGCCGGACACGGCACACACCCACCCTGAAACCGATGGACGATGCTCTACAGAAGCTGTAAGTGCACATTTGTAACGAGGAATTTGGGCAAAACAAGGGTCTGAAAGATGCAAATCTGTGGGAACAGGAGTTCAGAGACAGAGGGGCAATGGCTCTGATGGGAGTGGACAACCCGTCACTGCCTTCACATTTTTTTCCCCTTCTTAGAGCTTGTTTTTGTAAATTATTGACTGAAACTTACTGAAGTGAGCCCAATGCACTGTCTGACCTTTTTAAGAAATACCATATTGTATTTTCTTAAGCACAAAGAACGACTGTTAGACTGCGCTGTCTAGATTTAATTTGTTGCTAAAGAGATTCAGTCATCTGGTGGTGGGAAAACAGCAAAGCATATTGTGATCCAACAGTTAAAAGATAAAACACTACATGATACTGTTGCCAGGACAAGGGTGTTATTTAGAAGTCAAATAATTCACTCAAACAAATCAGTCGCTTTAGCGGGGGGGGGGGGGGGGGGCTGGGGGGGGGAGAACAGTACTGGCTTTTGAGATTAGCTAAGCAGGAAATCAATCTGCTGGTAAATAAAACATTGTGCAGGTCACTTCGCATGGCCAGTGTTAAAAACGGGACCACGCTCCCGGTACTAGACGTGATTGCAGCATTTATTCTAATAAAAAAGAAAGGCCTAAAGCAAGGGGGCCCGCGGGCTGAGCAGGGGCGTTCCCGTCGAGGATACTGCAGCACCGGCGCCGGGTGTTCTGAGCAGCGATGTCCCCGATGTTCGAGGTGGAGCGGCGCGGGTTCAGTGGGTCAGAAGCCCCCTTTTTATTTTGTTTTTTGTCCTTTTGGATTGGTTTCTTTTTGGATCCTTCATTTGCATGAAGGTTTAATGCGGTTGATTGGCCCATGACAGTTCTGTCCAGGCTGGCTCATTTCGCTTGGGGGGTGGTGCGCTTTATTCAGGTGTATTATGGTACGTTGAGCACCGTATTTCTTCTAACTTCCCTTTTAACCCCTTTTACCATAACCAAACTAACAGTACATGCTTAACAACTATCAACTATTTTACAATAGCTTCTAACCTATTTTTAACAGCCACTACATTCGGAGCAGGACTCTGAACTGGATCAGAGTTTTGGAAGGGCGCTGGGCGCTGTCAGGACGCGGGGGTTCGCGGGGTGCCTCTGGCTCCGGAGCGCTTTGCGGGCGCGTTTCTCGCCTCGCTGTTCGCGTCGCTCCCCGTCCCCGCGGCCGGGACGCGCTTCCCCATCCGGCCGTGGGACTGCCACGGGATGCGAGTGTCACCATGGGCCAGCCCCAGCCCGCTCCTTCCCTCCCAGGGAGCACGGGCACTGCGGCGGCCCCTGCGGACGTGTGGCTCCGCAGGGATCTGTCTGCGCAAAGAGAACCTGACAGCGATCCTGCTGCAGAGGTCTTGCGTGCCACCGGCATGGGGAGGAGATATGTTTAACCTCTTCTTCTTGTGTATTTATCTGAGTCTGCAGGACGGAAATATCTCCAAGCAGTGTGGCACTGTACATTGCAGCATTCCTGAGGGATTGACTTTTGCTCCCACTTCACTCACTGTGCTTTGAATCACTGTGTGGATTTAGATTTATATTAGAGATTTCAGTCCATATCACACTAAGATGAACAGACTTTCTGTTTAGTGGTTTAGATTCCAGTAGTTTAAAAAGTTCTAAAAGCTTTTAAATTTAAAACTTCTAAAATGTCTAAAAGTTTCCAGGGAAACTTTTTAGCACAGTACAAAATGCAATGAATTCACAGAGGTATAAAAGGGTCATAAAAACAAATCCTCAGCATGACATTAGGCAACCCCTCTTGCTGTAAAGTATTAATATACATATGGAAGTGAATCATGGAATACAAGAACGGTTTGGCTTGGAAGGGACCTTAAAGATCATCTCATTCCAAACCCCTGCTATGGGCAGGGGCACTTTCCACTGTGCCAAGCAGCTCAGCCCCATCCAAAAATAGCCTTAAAAATATATCACAAAAGGAATGACACAATTCCAAGTTCCTTTTCAGAAGGTTCCTGTTTCTTTACTAAAATACATTGCCAAAATTTCACCAATGCAGGCGTGATCAAGGTCTCCATGTATTTTCATGCTGTTAGGAAGATCTGGATTCTGGAGGGTAAATAGAATAAACTCAAGATGTACATACTCTACCAATCGTCTCAAGGATACGCACCATGAATGTCACAGCATTTGACAATGTTTCGATCCTCTGCAGCATTTATCCCTAGCAAGGCATATTCTCTTCCATTCCTTGCTAGGTAATAAATTGTTGGTGAAATTCGGGGCAAATAGCAGGTTTTACATCCACAGATTTGCTTGTACTTTTTCACTCACAAAGTTAACTATCCCAATTAATTACATGCTTCACTGAAACCTTTTCTGTGGGAGAAGTTGCCCCTGCTCCTTGGGCTTGAGTCACTACCTGCCCAATATACCTTACGTGTCCAGGTGCACTTAAATGCGTGTTGTGCTGAAGCACAAGGAAAATATAAATTCTACACGGATGTTGTGAAGACGTAGATATGGTATTTTGGACAGTGTAATTTCTTCTGGAAAGGGAAATCGCGGCTTTACTAATCATGCATTAATTGTTTAAAAACTCGTGGCTGTGCAAGTGTAAATTCATGCTTCTACACAGGACGGGCTGGTGAGCACAGACATTTGAAGAAGTGTTCTCACCTCGAAGGTAAAGGCGATGGTAACCCCGATGTTGGCTACGGGGGGCTCAGGGGGCCCGCCCCGGCCGCCCCCGCCCCGGCCGCCCCCGGGTCTGCGCCGCCTTCGCCCCGCTCTGCGCTTCCTTCGCCGCCTCCGGGGCCGGGAGGCGGTGCCCAGCGCCGGCCGCCCCGCCCCGGCCTGGCAGGAAGGCCGAAGGCCGCCGTCCGAAGGCCGCAGCCCGCGGGCCGGGCGGGGCCGGGGCTGCCATGGCCGGTGAGTGCGGGGCGGGCAGGGTCCGGGGCCCCTCGGCGGCTCGGTGAGCAGCGCCGCGCTCCCAGCCCCGGCCGCAGCCCTCGGGGCCGCCGCGCCGGGGTCGCTGTCCCCGGCGGGTCGGTGCGCGGCCGCGGCCCCGCCGTGGGTCGGGGCATGGCCCGGCCCGGCCCGGGCAGCGCTGCCGGGCCCCGCACGGGCGGGCCGCTGGCACGGCGGGCGGGGCGGGGCTGGGCTGGGCGCGGGGCAGCGGGGCCGTGCGGAGCCCCGGCCTGGTGTCTCCGGTATGGCCGGGAAGTGCCACGTTTCACACCCTGGCACACTGGCTGCGTGTTGTGTGGCAGCGAAATCTGCTGTTTACTCCCAACCTCTATCCAGCTCGCTGGGATTGTGCCTCTACACCTGGGGAGCACACAGGTTAGTTATCCTGGTGACTCGGGGGCCCGGTTGTTTTAGCTGTCCTATGGAGCTTGGAGGACTGGGACTGTATGTAACCTAATGTCGCACTCTAGTATCAAACGCTTTTTAATATTTTGCTCACTGCAGTTGTTGAAGTCTACAGTTCCCTGACGGGTGGGTGTAGCCAGGTGGGTGTCAATCTCCTCCCAAGCACCAAGTGACGAGATGAGAGGTATCCGCCTCAGGTTGCACCAGGGGAGGTTTAGGTTGGATATTAAGGAAAATTTCTTCATTGAAAGGGTTGCCCATGCCTGGTACAGGCTACCCAGGGCAGTGGTGGAATCACCATCCCTGGAAATGTTCCAAAAACATATGGATGTGGCAATCCACGGCATGGTTTAGTGCTGAACATGATGATACTGGATTGATGGTTGGACTCAATAGCCTTAAGGTTCTTTTGCAACCTAAATGATTCTGTGATTCTCATGACTTTCTGTCAGAGACCCTTGACTTCTAGTAACTTGCCAGTAGCACATGGCAGTAGGTGAGAGTAGCAGAGAAGGATGGCATCTTGTTTTTCACCTCTCTGTCATCTTTTCAGCCCAAAGGAGCAGACCAGTTGCTCTTCGTGGGTGCATTTGGTAACCAGTGTCATCTGATCATGTCAAGACCATTTCTCTGCAGCCAGTCTCCTTCTTAAATCCTTTGGCATCCCTTTATTGGGGTCTTGAAACAGAAAAGGCAAAACTAAATTAGTGTTAAGCCAACATTTTGTTGAGAGAGACTTTTTCCTCTTTCCGAGATGCTTCTGAAAGGAGTTGTCAGGGACACATACAAATGTTTGATCGTCCACATTTTGGTTGCCAGCTTTCCTGTGTAATGTTTATGAAAATCACCCAGAAGTTTTACAGGAAGTAGCAGCTTGTGTTTGCACTGCACAGCAGACACCGCTGAGGTTTCTGGAATGGATGTTTGCAAGTTCTGTGTTTTACAGAGAACATCAGAGAGGTGCACTGGGTTTCGTGTCTGTTGTATTTAAATTTATCTATCTAATGATCCTGTTTGTTTGCTTGATAAACTTAAGAAGGCTGTTAAGGGGAAAACAAACCAAAGATGAAACCATAATAAAGATGTAGTGGTGTCAGAGACAGTGTCCAGAGTCCTTATGTAAATATTAGTGGAGTTAATTATTTGGAGTGAGTACCTGCCTGACTAAAAGTGGTTGGCAGTTCCCAGGTCCTGGGTGTGGATGAGAGTGCTTGCATGTTGCAGTGGCAAGGAAGGGCTGATCTCAACCTACAAATTTGAAATGCAGTTGTATTTATTAATTTACTGTAATATGAAGTGGCAGTGCAGCTCCTTAGGGCCCTGTGGCTTTATCCAGTAAGGCAGTGAAAGTAGATAATGAAAAAATGTATGCAGGGGATTGTGACAAACAAAATCCCGTTTGTTGTTTCTTGTACAGAAAGCAACATGAGGGTTTTTATGCTAAGAATGGTTAAGCAGAAACAAAATTACAAAGGTGTTTTTGGCAACCAGTATAACCAGCAAGTTCTGGTTTGTGTTGTGCCAGTGGCTAGTGACAGCTTTCAGGGGCCGCACATCTCAGCACAAGCATGTAAAGCAGGAGTCCAAAGGCTTGTCCAACATTCTGGCTGCTGCCAGGGTCTGGCTTGTCCCTTCTTCTGTTGGGAACTGTGTCTGACAACCTCCGTGTTTGAAGAACTTAAGAAAGGGTGTCCTTGATGTTTTTTCTGCAGGTGCTCTAGCAGACAGTCTGGCACCTTATGGTAATGTATGATAAGTTTTTTGTATGAGCCTCGTTGTTTTCAAGAGCAGAATGAGAGCATCCCATTGGATGGGAGAAGCATCTTGCAGGTGCCTTAAATGTCATAATCTGACTTCATAAATAGAGAATTTATCTTCAGTGATTTATTAACTTTAAAGCTGTATTTGATTAAATATCCATCAGAGTCTGACTTCTAAATGATTAATAACCTTCTCCCTTTGGAAGGAGAGAGGCAGTAAGAGTGACCAGCTGAAAGTTCAGATTTATGTAATTTCAAGTGAATGGGTCTTTGAAAGCACATGGCAGTGTTATGTTTCCCTAACAGATAGTTCAGCCTGCTAATATTAGGTGGTGGTGATAATTTTATTTTAGCTATTTAATCACTGGTAGGAAAATGAAAATTACAGAATTTAAAAATTGCGTATTAATTAACTGCTGTGATTTCTTCTGTGTTATTTTATCTCTAGATCAGTCGTATTGTCATCGGCTGCAGCATGACATGTATTTCCTTACAAGTACTAGCCGACTGAATGAGCAAGTGGTTGATAAAATTGTTCTTCAGCTTAACAGAGTCTATCCCCAAATTCTTACCAATGAAGAAGCAGAAAAGGTAATTTGCGGAGTTTTGCTGTGTCTCTGATTGTTCTGTTGATTTTGTGGGTCACTGCCCCAGATGCCCTCTTTCTGGCACAGCTCTTGGTGCCACATGCAGCCAGCCTGCCCCACCTCCTGCTTGCTGCCCAGTTGTGTCTGGCATCTCATGTAAGAGGAGCAGTCACAGGGCTGGCACATTCTCTGTGCCAAGTGGTCATGGGAGAGAGTGCTCTTTCAGCAGCAGTTTAATGCCACGGTCCCTGCATGATCAGGAGCACACAGTCGTGCAGCCAGTCCATGGGCAGGAGGGCACCCATCCTGTGACCACATGCCTGGCGTGCCTGTCTCCACCCATGAGGTCATGTGCAGTGGCACACCAGATGATCTATGCTGCACCCATCTCTGCCCACAAAATCATCTATATTAGCTCAATCAGTTTTGATACCAATTAATAATTTTAAGTATTGGTAGAGAAGTGGGGGGTTATTAGTCCCACTAGTAAGTGTGGAGCTTTGGGAAGTGGGTGGAGTTAGTAATATCTTGCAGTGGTGCCACCACGTATGGAGGAAGGCCACCCTCCTTGATGTGAAGCTTTCAAAAATGGGTAGCTCTTTTTAGGGAGAAAAAGCTTCTAATCTTGTGTGGAGACAAAATTAAAGTCAGCTAAGAGCTTCCACAATCTTACTTATAATAGTTTGTACTTGCCCTCTGCCTAGCTTCATGTCTGCACTTTGTCAGAGTTTTGGCATATCAGTATTTTAACATCAGGAAAAATAGGTCCAATGCTACCATAATCAAACTTCATGGGGACAATTAGTGTTTTGTGGTGTAGAGCAGAGCTAGATCGTTTATTGAACCAGTCTTGCCATTTCCCTCAAGAGCTTCAAAATAAACGCATAAGGAATCTGAAACATGATTTGTGACTTTTACACTTAGGCGGAAATGAACTGCTTTTTAATGGATTTAGGCAAGTTTGTGTCAGCTCTATTGAATGTTTAGGAAATTTATTATCTGGTAGACCCTGTGAGAATTTTGTCAAAATAAGGAGTATTGTGTTATATTTGTGGCATTCTTGTCCCACTCAAGCAGCAATTTAACTCAATTTGCTACAAAGGTTATCCACTGTGCTGCTATGAAATATGATGTTTTGCTGAGAATGGCTTTGGATTTTTTTGAAATAAACTGAAAAAGGTTTGATGTGTAAGGCTAGGTATTGTAAATGTGCTACCACAGCTAGGGATGCATTTTCCTTCTCTTTGTAAGGTCTCCTAATATTCATTGCATTTAGCAGTACAGAAAAAAAATTATTTCCTGCTGCAACTGTTTGCCAGTCTGAGTAATGGGATTTTGTGCCTGTTGAAGTGAGTATACAGCAGTCAATTGGCTGGAAACAACAAAAAAACATGAAATACAAAATCTTTGGATGATGAGCACTCCAGAATTGGGACTAGGATAAGCAGTATGAAGTGCCTTTTTGGGGATCATTACTAGGCAGCTAAGGGCAAACTTGAAAGCATCATACTTTATTTCAAATTATATGATTTGCTGAAATATTCTATCTACAGCTGCCAGAATTAAACTGTAGAATAGCAAGTACCGTGTCAGCTTGGATGCATGGAAGGCATCAAATGCAGAGTGTCTTTCACTTGATTGGGACAGAAAAAAGCAGAAGGAGAGGCAGAGACAATATGCTCTTCATCAGACAGTGCTGACCACTTGAAGCTCAGGGCTGTGCAGTGCATGTATGTCCTTTTTATGTTTCCCTTTTTGGCCCATTCTTTTAGTAAATATCAAAGAAGCTCCATAAATAAGCTAAATAACTGGCATAGTGATGTAAAATTGATCTTTTAATCTCTCTTCTGTTTTAACCTCTTTTCTGATGCTCACTTTTCTCTTACAGTTCAGGAACCCAAAGGCATCACTTCATACCAGGCTCTCAGATCTGTTAAAACACCTCCAAAAGAAAGGAGACAGACACTGTCAGGAGTTTTACAGGGCTCTGCAGATCAATGCTGAACTGCTGTTTAATGATCTGCCAAGCAGGA